AACTATCTTAGGGATTGATTTCATTTTTATATTATTGTATTTGGTTGTATATACTTAGAAAAATCTGGAAAGATACACATGAAAAATTTTACATTGGTTACCTCTGCTGCTATATACTATATACTCTGCTTTTAATTGTTTTTTTCCTTCTTCTTTTATTTTTTATGTTTTTTGGCATCAATTTTTTTGTACAATAAGAATTAAACATTTATAATTCTTTTTAAAAGAATTTAAAAGAGGGGACAAGAAAATTATATTAGTATATGAGAATTTCATGCATGGTAAAAGTAGTGTTTTATATCAGTGGACAAAAAAATTGGTCAAACCATGGGATACAAAACACTGATTAGCTATTTGAAAAAAACTCAAATGGGTTAAAATTTCAAATATAAAAAAGGAACTATAGGGGCCGACCCGGTGGTGTAGTGGTTAGGCTTATGGACTCCGCTTCGGAGGCCCGGCATTCTCGGGTTCAGATCCCAGGCATGGACCTGCACACCACTCATCAAGCCATGCTGTGGTGGTGTTCCATACACAAAATAGAGGAAGATGGGCACAGGTGTTAGCTCAGGGACAATCTTCCTCACCAAAAAAAAAAAAAAGGAACTATAGAGATACTAAAAGGAGGAGTACATGTAAATATTTATTTAATTGGGAGAGAGAGAGTTCAAAACATAATACCAAAGAGAGAAACAATAATAAAAGAAAAAAACCTTACAAGATTTCAAAATATAAAACTTTAAAACATCTATATGACAAAATACATCATTAACAAATGGGAAATTTTTGAAAATATATAGCAAGTAAAGAGGTCTAACATATCTAAATTTAAAAAGATGAATAGCCAATAGAAAACTAGATAAAGAACATGAATAAGTAACCTCAAATTAACAATTTTAACATGCAATAAACGAATAAAAGGTGTTTAACCTCACTAGACAGTAAATTGTTTTTGTTTTTTAAAATGATATCCAAATCTAGCATCTAAAATAAGCAATCTGATAAAATGATGGTGGGAGTGTAAAACTGGTACAACTTTTATGGAGAACAACTCAGAAGTACATATTAAAAGACTAAAAAAGTACATACCCTTTGATTCAGCAATTCCACTTCTAAAAATTTGTCTAAGAAAATAAGGATGTACACTAACTAACACTTAGTTGAAAGGATCTTCATCAAATGATAGAAAAAAATTGGGGCCGGCCCTGTGGCATAGCGGTTAAGTGCGCGCGCTCCGCTGGGGGCGGCCCGGGGTTCGGATCCCGGGCGCGCACCAACGCACCGCTTGTCAGGCCATGCTGTGGCGGCATCCCACATAAAGTGGAGAAAGATGGGCATGGATATTAGCCCAGGGCCAGTCTTCCTCAGCAGAAAGAGGAGGATTGGCATGGATGTTAGCTCAGGGCTGATCTTCCTCACAAAAAAAATAATAAATTTAAAAAAAAAAGGATAGAAAAAAATGGAGTCAGAAAACCATTCACAGTAAGTGATTGATTATACATGATGGCAAATGTATACAATGGAATAAAAAAAAGCCATTAAATACAATTTGTAGGAATATGTTTACTGCACTGTAAAACTGTCACAAAATATTTAGCATAAAAAGTTGTTAAACTGTATATTTAAATACTTATCATAAATGTGTATACACAGACAAATTCTGAATGGATACAGTATATTTTTAAGTGTTAAGAGTCATTATCGCTGGAAGCCAGGTCTCCAAGTTTTCTTCTTCTTACTTATCTATATTTTCTAATTTTGGCACACTGAGAATATCTTTTTAAAAAAAAGCTTTTCAAACTTCCACCACTGAGGAATTGCACAGGAAGGCTGGGAACATTCTTAACAAGGGCCCCTTATCAAAGTACTTACATGTCATAGAGGTATTAGGTTTTCTGCCTCACTAGAACGTGACCCCCCCCCCCAGGAAACAGGAACTGAGTCTTACTCATTTCTTTTTTATTTCTCATGCCTATTTTAGTGTGTGGTATAATAGTAGGCTGAAAAAATGAATGATAACCTTTAGCAGGGAGCCCAAAAGACTCTCCTAGACACCTAAGATTTAGATTCTGTATAGGAAACAGTCACCTATGAAACACCCAAGGCTGGCCACAGAGCCTCTCGGGAAATGCGAATTCCATTTAACCAACTGCTCAGACCGAAAAATCCTGATGTTTTCCTTGACTCCTTTCTCTCACACCTCCCACCCAATCCATCAACAAACCCAAGTGAACAAATCTTGTTGGTCCTACATTGAAAATGTGCTCTCACTACCATTCTCACCATTTCACTGCTGCCACCCTGGTCCAAGCCAGAAATCACCTCTCGCCCACACAAGAGCAATGGAGCCCCCTTCAGGTCTCCAGGCTTCCACCTGATGTATCGTCGTCTTCACACAACAGTCAGAATGACCTTCTAAAAGGCAAATCTAATCATGCAACTCCAAGCTCAAAACCCCCAGCAGCTTCCCATGACAAGCAGAACAAAATCCAAAGTGTTCCCACGGTTTACAAGCCCTGCATATTCTGCCCTAGAGGCCTACTTTGAATTCGTCCACCTCCTCTCCCACCCTCAGGGCTCCAGCCACACCAGACTGCCCACTATTCCAGGAACTTGTCAAGCACGTTCCCACCTCACGGCCTCTCCCCTCCCTACTTCCATCACTTTTTCTTCTTTGCTGGGAATGCGCTTCTCCTTAAAACTGACCTTATCAAAAAAATCTCTGCTTAAAAGTCACCTTACCAAAATGGCTATCTTTAAACACTTTTTTTTAATAGCAATCCTTTCCAACCAGCCTTCACTCTCTCTTCCTTTAACCTGCTTTATTTATCTTCAGTGCACCACCTGTCATTATATCTTCTATTAATTTATCATCTATTTTCTCCACTACAATGTCTATTGGCACAAAGACTTTTTCTTGACCACTCGATTTCAAGCACTTAATGCCTGCCACATTGGAGGGACTGAGTAAATACTTATGAGATAATTAGGTGAATGAATAAATAAATGACTTCAGCAAGATATGTTTCAAGTTCTCATGTAAACATGGTATTTGAGCCAGTGTCTGCTCCAAACTATAGAATATTCTCTGAGGTCAACACCAAAAAGGAATGTTGTAATACAGCAGGTGGAATAACAACATCTCATTACTCAGTAATGATACTGATGTTGATGATTATTGTCAATAGGCCTGGAGCTCCCCAGTCCCCAAAAAGCCTCCCCATCTCTCATCCGACTACCATTTAACACCCACATCCACCTTGTTGAAACTTAAAGTTTTTCTAAGAATTTACGAACAGATTTAACAGACATTGTAAACTACTGCCATGAGGAAAAGTCAGTTATTTCATACCATAAGCAACCTCATTCTCGTTAACTAGTAACCCAACATTGTTTCTTGACATATAGCCCTGTAACATGGAACAATAATCTGACTTGCTAAAACCACTAAGTATTTCCCATTGGCTTAATTCTATCAGTAAAATGAGACAAGGAGAGACCCTGCAAAATTCTCAAGGCCTGTGTAAATGAAGCCTCAGGGTATCAAGGTCAGCTGTGCACTATGTTACAAGTAGTTTGGTAACTAAAAATAAAGCACTTAAGGGCCGGCTCCGTGGCTTGGCGGTTAAGTGCATGCGCTGTGATGCTGGCGGCCCGGGTTCCGATCCCGGCGCGCCCAGAGGCACCACTTCTCCGTCCAACCCGAGGCCGAGTCCCATGTACAGCAACTAGAAGGATGTGAACCTATGACATACAACTATCTACTGGGGCTTTGCGGGGAAAAAAATGAATAAATAAAAAAATCTTTAAAAAAAAAAAATAAATAAAGCACTTAAGTTTGAGAATTATTTACTTAAAAAGTAAACCAGGCCATGGTTAGTGTCATTTACAACATTCACTTCCTTTCTGATATACGTTCTTGAAAAAAGGCTAATGCATACCAGGTCAGAAATTTTGCATAACCCTAGTTGACCATCCTGTCATTTAAGTAAACTTTGAATGGTACTCCTGACAGTCAACAACAGTGCGTCAAAAATACATGATTTTTCAAAACACCAGGCTAAGTGTAGCATCGTGCAGAACCCAGGCTGTGGAGTCATGTCAGCCTGGGTTAGAAGTGCATTTCTGCCACTTAGTTACTGTGTGATCTTGGGTAAGTTCTCTAACTTCTCTGGGCTCCATAACTCCGAAAATACGGATAAGAAGACCTATTCTGTAGAGCTGTTATGAGGATTAGGCCAATGCACGCACCATTTATCAAGTACATCTCGTCCCAGGCAAAGAGGATTAAAGAATGGGAAAACGAGGTGCAGCAGAGGGACCCGCAAAATCAGCGGAAGGTGGAAGTCTGCAAACCTCTGCAGGCAGGCAGCCAAGCAAGAAAACATCCTCCACAAGGAGTCTATAAATTGGAGCAGCTTTTGGGACACACACATCCCATGCCCTGAGAGGAAACAGCCCTTTCTTCATATCCCAACCAGCCTTAACAGCCATTCGCCTTTCCACTAGCACTGACATTCCTCACCTTACACCTGTAGGTCCCATTCTCCGCAACCCAAGTGCTGCCTCCATCCCAAATCTGACTCCCTGAAGCCTAAAAGCGAAAATAAAAAACTGAGACGTTACTGAATGTAGTCAACACTTGGCAAAAGACCATGTCCCCTGCAGCGTCCCGGTGGCTGAAACAGTCGTCCCCTGCCTTACAATCTGTCAGCGACAACGTGTCCTCTACACACGCCTCGGTGAGAACCACTGCAGTAAGGAAGGCTCGGCGGAAAGACTGTTCGCGCTTGAACTCCGCCCGGCAGAGTACCGACGTCCCAGCGCGGCCGGCAGGCTCCACCGAGCCCGACTCCGCGGGCCTGTTCGCCAGCAGGGCACAGACTGCCGCGGCCTTCGCCCCCAGACCACAAGACGCAGAGGGGGAGTCGATGCGCGGAGGAGGAGCACGGCCCGGGCCCAGGGCTCCCCTCGAGGGCGGCGGGGGCCGCACACAGTACCTGGATGAGCCTCCGCTGGAACAAGGCGCTGTGCACGCAACCGGGGACGTCCCCGGGCAGCTCCAGCGAGCCGTTCCCGCTGCGGATCCTCCAGCGGCCCCGCAGGCTGAGGGTGCGCGCCGCGGCGCTGGGGCCCGCCCAGCAAAGCGCGAGCAGCAGAAGCAGGCGAAGGCGCATACCGCGAGCCGGCCGCGGGCACCCAGACTCGCCGGACCCCGCGCTCCAGGAAACCCCCGTCCGCTCGAAAGAAGGCCCGGCTCTGGCTCTCCCCGCCCCGGATCCCGGCCCCGCCCCGGGCCCGCGGAGCTGCCGGCTGGCGGTGAGCGCCGGGGCCCGCGGAACCGCGGAAGGCGCGGTGGCGGGTGCCGCCCCTGCTGCGCCGTGCACGGCTCCGGGCTCGGACCCTGCGGTCTGCGCTCTCCTCGGCGCTTACTCTTCGGCTGTTTCGCTGGCTGAACCGGAGGCGAAAACCGTGCGCGGTAATTGGGACATACGGATCTGTGGGCGCAAAGTTGGGCAAAGCCTCAGGGAGCTCAAGGACAGACAGTAGCATGGGGAGACCACAGCTAGAGAGGCTCCTCACTGCTTCGGAGAACCGAAACACCAAGACACCACCACTGCTGTTCCCCCAAATTTCCCCAGACCCTCATCCAGCTGCAGGGTCCACCTGGTGGTGGTAACGCCCACCTCCTGCAGCTCCACAGGCTGGTCTCAGAGCGGACCCGGTCCTTCCAAGAGTAAACGGTTACTGAAAGTACCTAATTCGTAGGGTCGTCTTGAGGACTGAGAAGATCCGTGCACAGCGTGCAGCATAGGGCCTATGAGAAAGCACAGCACGTTAGCTAATGTTGGTGGATTAGACCTGTTTTGTAAAGCCCCCCAGAGGAGGTTCCGGAAACCAGCAAATACAAGGGCAAGTTTAAAATCCTCTGACGCTCACTAGCTGTGGGACTTGGGCAAACCACAAAATCTCTGCTACCTCCATTTCCTGAACTCGAAAATGTAGACAGTTAATCCTTTTTCAGGTTGTTATAAGCATAAAATAAGTTAACATATATAGCTGCCCCTTACGATGCTGGGGTACCCAAGAAATACCACAGGTTTATTGCAGGTCTCATAGTCATGTGGTCTACTTGAGTCCCCTTTTTGCAATAGGATGTAACAGTGATCCTAGGAAGTTTAGAGGGTATTTCACATTGTGTAAAATAGCCTGACTTATTCCTGTGTTGATGTTAGCTGTGTTATTTCCATATTTAGGAGGAAGTCTTTGGAGCCAGCCCTGATGGCCTAGTGGTTAAGGTTTGGCACCCTCTGCTTTGGCGGTCCAGTTTGGTTGCAACCACACCACCGGTCTGTCAGTAGCCATGCTGTGGCTGTGGCTCACACAGAAGAACTAGAAGGACGTACAACTAAAATGTACAGCTATGTACTGGGGCTTTGGGGAGGGAAAAAATAATAATAATAGGAGAAAGTCTTTGAAGAGAAGTTCTCCCCTGTCAAATCTGAGCTTTGTTTTGCTTTATAATGGCCCTAGAATTGCCTGAATCTGTAGACATAGGAAAATATTTCACTATTTCAGAGTCAGTGTTTATCACAAGCCTAGCATCTTGGCCTTAGGGAATTATGGGTTATCCAGCCCAAGCTTCTGGCTTTACAGCTAAGGGGATAGGGTCCACAGAGCTTTGGTGACTTGCCTGTCATACCTTGAGACATGACCAAAACTCTCCTCTCCCAGCTGGTAGTCTCCTTGCTGGTAGAGACCATTGACATTAAGGGGAGAAGGCTCTGACTGGTTCAAAGCCTTCCTCGTTCCAGAAGCATTCTTACTTTTGATAGGAACAAAGCTCTCAATTCAAATAATATGCCATAATTCATGGCATTAAAGGGCCAGCCCTGGTCTATTCAATACTGATAACGAGACTTATGGCACTAAGAGTGGCAAAGGAATTTTTTTCATAAATCCCAGAGATCCCATTAAGCCAAGGCAATGGAAAATTCATCCCAGGGAATATGTTTGCCTATATTCTGTTGTTCTATTAAGACATCTTTTAGGGAATCTATTCTTACAAAAAACAAGAATAGAGACTTATTCCTCCTTTCATTCCAGGACACAAGCATGACATCATTTGGATTACTTCACTTTGAAAACGGAGAACTTCAAGAAATGCAAAAGGGTTCTGCCTAAAATTGAGATTGGCACAGGTGACATGATGAAGTTTTCATTTTGTTATAGGATAATTTTTTGTCCATTATTTCCAGGAAGGATAAATCTTATTTTGAGATAGTTGTAAAACTTCTCAACTTATATAATTTGAAGTCACAACATCAAATATGATTAAAAAAACAGTCACAATGGGCCAGCCTGGTGGCTTAGCGGTTAAGTGCGCGCGCTCCACTACTGGCGGCCCGGGTTCGGATCCCGGGTACGCACTGACGCACCTCCAGCCATGCTGAGGCCGCGTCCCACATACAGCAACTAGAAGGATGTGCAACTATGACATACAACTATCGACTGGGGCTTTGGGGAAGTAAAAAAGGAGGGGGATTGGCAATAGATGTTAGCTCAGAGCTGGTCTTCCTCAGCAAAAAGAGAAGGATTAGCACGGATGTTAGCTCAGGGCTGATCTCCCTCACAAAAATAAAAAAAGATTTTAAAAAATCAACATTAAAAAATAGTCACATATTTCTGTAACCTTACACTATGTAATTGGATTCCATTTTGATCATCTCATGTGATGCTTCCCAAAATTTGAATTATTTAGGTCAAGTGATAGTTCCCTGGTTTAAAGAGACAAATAAAGCCTACAGAGGTTAAACAATATGTAGGGTCAATGTCCTGCTGCAGGAGGCCAATGAGGGCTTTGTGGCCCATGTGACAATGCTTCCTTCACCTCTATGAATTTGACAAACTTATTAGAATGGTATGGTATACCATGGCTAAGGATGTTTCAATCCCATGAGATAATTACATAACTTATAATAAGGGGAAGAAAAATGACTCAGAACGTCTGCTTAATCTTCAAAGCTAGGGACAATTGGCCATAAGTATTCCCTTGGAAGGTTATAAAAAGAACTCTTAAACTCAACAATAAGAACACAAACAACCTGACTAAAAAATGGGCCAAGACCTTAACAGACACCCCACCAAAGAAGAGATAAAGATGGCAAATAAGCATATGAAAAGATGCTCCACACCATATGTTGTAAAGGAAATGTAAATTTAAACAATGAGATACCACTACACACCTATTAGAATGGCCAAAATCCAAAACACTGACAACACCAAATGCTGGCAAGGATGTGGAGCAACAGGAACTCGCATTCTTTGCTGGTGGGAGTACAAAATGGTACAGTGACTTTGGAAGACAGTCTGGCAGTTTGTTACAAAACTAAATATACACCTATGATATGATCCAGCAATCACACTGCTTGATATTTACCGAAAGGAGTTGAAAACTTATGTCCACACAAAAACATACACATGGCTGTTTATAGCAGTTTTATTGATGATTGTTAAAACCTGTAAGCAACCAAGATGTTCTTCAGTGGGGGAAAGGTTACATAAACTGTGGTACATTCAGAAATGGAATATTATTCAGTTCTAAAAAGAAATGAACTATGAAAAGACAGGGAGGAAACTTCAATGCATATTGCAAAAGTGAAAGAAGCAAATCTGAAAAGGCTACGTACTGTATAATTTCAACTACATGACATTCTGGAAAAGGCAAAACTACGGAGACAGGAAAAATATCAGTAGTTGCCAGGGGTTACAAAGGGATGAATAGGTAAAAAATAGAGGGTTTTTAGGGCAGTGAAATTGCTCTGTATGATGCCATAATGGTATCATTATCCATAATATATCATTATACATTTGTCCAAACCCATAGTATGTACAACACCATGAGTGAACTATAATGTAAGTTATATACTTTGAGTGATAATGATGTGTCAGTGTAGATTCATTGATGGTAACAAACGTACCACTCTAGTGGGGAATGTTGATAATGGAGGAGGCTGTGCATGTGTGGGAATGGGGTATATGGGAACTCTCTGTGGTTTCCATTCAATTTTTCTGTTAACCTAAAATTGCTCTAAAAAATAAAGTCTATATATATATATATATTTCAAAAAAATCCATGGGTAAAAGAAATAAAAGGCTTCCAGTTAATGTTTTGTCATGTAAGGAGCTTAGAAGTCATCACTCCATCCTAAAAACAGCTAAAAAGCTGTACAAACTGAAAATCAACAGCTCTTCTTAGATCTGTCAGAAAATTGAGGTGACAGGGCAAATCACTGTCCCCAAAATTGGAGAGATAGACAGGTGGATACAGAGAATCACAATATTCCAAAGCAGAAACCCATGAGCAGAAAGCTCCATGGGAACGAGTAGGAGGGTAGGAAAACCTAAAACTATAATTAATGAATTCTGGAGGCTTGATGTGGACAAGTCTGAGAGTTAAAAACTCCACAGGGGCCCAGTCTTAGGGGGTCACCCACAGTTTCATGAGTTTTGCCTCCAGGAGCTCTACTGAGTTCTAACATTGAAGATTGGACAACAATTCCCTCATACTGCCAGCAAGGGGAGGAGAACAGGAAGCATTTTGAAATACATCAGAGAATTGTGTTCCTAACAAGGCCTGCCCTCAAGAGAAACTATTTTAAGAGAAGCTGAATAGACCAATCACAAGAGATTGAAACAGTAATCAAAAGCTTCCCAAAAAACAAAAGTCCTGGACCAGATGGCTTCTCTGGAGAATTCTAGCAAACATTCAAAGAAGATGTAATCCCTATCCTTCTCAAATTATTCCAAAAAATTGAAGAAGATGGACTACTTCCTAACTCATTCTATGAGACCAACATTAACCTGATACCAAAATCAGACAAGAACAACACAAAGAAGGAAAATTACAGGCCAATTTCACTGATGAACATAGATGCAAAAATCATTAACAAAATATTGGCAAATTGAATACAGCAATACATTAAAAGGATCATACACCATGATCAAGTGAGATTTATACCAGGGACACAGGGATGGTTCAACATCTGCAAATCAATCAATGTGCTATACCACATTAATAAAACAAGGAATAAAAATCACATGATCCTCTCAATAGATGTAGAGAAAGCATTGGACAAGATTGAACATCCATTTATGATAAAAATTCTCAATAAAATGGGCATAGAAGGAAAGTACCTCAATATAATAGAGG